AGACACCCCCTGTCCCCATCACACACAACAGGCACAGGGAAAAGGATCAAACCATTACCTAGGCTGAGCTGCTCTCTTGATTTGATATTTTCTAAGCTGCTTTTCAGAACAGTCAGGTAAGCTGCTCTGCAGTTCATGTAGAAGTTTGCTTCTTCTGTGTGCTGGGGCTTCTTCCCTTGGGAATTTTCCAATTGTGTGGCTTTCTGAGCAGAGAGGGAAGTGTTATTCCTGGGACTGCTGGCCATCCTGGGAAGGATACAATTACAGTTAGAATCTCTTACCATTTCCCTGCTTAATAATGGCTCTGTTTGTCCTGTGAAACACACATGGCACCAATTTTCCTAACAATTAGGTCATATCCTTCCCATTCCCTAAATCTGGGATGGGAATAACTACCTACACTTGTAGGTAGCACCATGAGATCCACAAAAAAAATCAGCTTGAGCTCTACTTATTGCTCACCATTTATTCTTCATTGGCAGTAAAAAAGAAAATTTTATGGTATTTTATTTTAATTTCAGACATTTGATATCACAATTATTATATAGTATATAATGCAAATATTATATACTTATGTTTTTTGAAAGCATAAAACCATATTTTCTCATTATCTGTGAAACAAGCCACTGCTATCTGTGGTTTCTCTTTTTGCAGCTGTAACTCAATAAAACACATGGATAATAGTAAAACTGGTCAAAATTGTCACCCTTAGTCTTTCAATTCCACTCCTAGGAGTTATCTAAATATAAATAATAAAAACAGATGTTCATAAAACTTAAAAAATAAATACGCATAAAACTTCGAGCAACTTAGACCATGTAATTCGTAAATGAATGGAAAAAAACCCATGAAACTAATTTTTTCTCAATTATTAAAACAATTCCAAGCAGTAACTGATGCTGTTTGCTCACCAATGGCCAGTAAACTAACAGCAGCTTTCTGCTTTTTCCAAGGGTGATTAAGGTTTTTAGAAGGCCACCACAGAGGGCCACTAAATCCTGTTGTGCTGTTGCTCTAACAGCCCCTCGTATTATTTTACCCAATGTTGACTTCAGAAAATATATTCCAGTATAATAAATGGAATATCTCAAGTTCAGCAACAAGACAACGACATCAGAGGGTCCCCTCCAGGACTCATTGGATTTTGACTCGGGAGGCCTAAATCACTTGCACCTTGGTGAGTTATACAGGCCTTTTACACTTGGGAAAGGAAGATAATAATCTCTTCTCATGGATGAAGTGCCCTATTTGTAATACCCAGCCTGCCTGCCTGACACTTTAATATTACACAGGCACTAGAAAGACCCCACAGGGACCCCCTGCCACAGCCTGGCTCCTGCAAACGGGTATCACTATAATAAAGCACCCGTGTTACACACACAGAATGGAACTGGGGGGAAAGTCAAGGAGGAAAAGAAGAATAAATGTTAATTTTCCAGTAACTAGTTTGTAAAATGTGAACTCTCGTTTGTGCTCCTTGGACTTCCCATTGCTGAGATATTTCTTGTGTGGGCCACAGTTCTGCCAAGAAGTGCTGCCATTTCCATGGAGGGAAATGCAGGGAGTAATGGCTCAGTGACAGCACTGCCAGATGCCCCATTGCTTGGCCTGGGATAAATGATAGTTTAGACAAAATAGATGGAGGGGAGCAACCCAGGCCGGGCTTTTAAACTGGGAGAGAGTAGGTTTAGATGGGATATTGGGATGAAATTGTTCCTTCTGAGGATGGTGAGGCCCTGGCACAGGTTGCCCAGAGAAGCTGTGGCTGCCCCATCCCTGGAAGTGTCCAAGGCCAGGTTGGATGGGGCTTGGAGCAACTTGGGACAGCGGAAGGCATCCCTGCCCATGGCAGAGGGTGGAACGGGATGGGTTTTAAGGTCTCTCCCAATCCAAACTAGTCTGTGATTCTACGCATCAGGAGGATGTCACAAGTACTATTACTTTTGATTTTTGGTGGTATGATTCTAACAGATAAAAAATATCTTCCAAACAGGAATTAAGTGACTGAATCACAGAATCCCAGAATCACTGAGGTTGGAAAAGCCCTCCAGGATCGAGTCCAGCCTGTGCCCGAATCCCACCTTGTCACCCAGCCCAGAGCACTGAGTGCCACGTCCAGTCGTCCCTTGGACACCTCCAGGGATGGGGACTCCACCACCTCCCTGGGCAGCCCCTTCCAATGCCTGACCACCCTTTATGTAAAGAAATTATTCCAAATATCCTAAGTCAGACCCCTCACGACAACACTGACCTTCAGGACCGAGGCTCATCCATAGAGCACGCCCATCTGCACAGGGAAGCTTCGCCCTGCTCCGGCCTCGCCCACCTGAAACGAGGAAACTTTTACCTCATGGATCTTGTCACCTCCCTCACCGGTGGGAGCAGCCCCTCTCAAGGGATAAATTTACCACCCACCGTAGAAAACATTACAATCTGCTTCCCCCAATCGCGTCTGAGGGAAACCAACAGCCCTTCCTCCCCCCGCCCCCCAGGCGGTCCCTGAGGGGACCCCTGGGGTGCGTTTGGCCGCCCCGAACCTCCCGCCCGAAGCTCCCCGGCCCGGCTCGTACCGCGCACGGCGTGACCCGACGAGCCCGGCCCGGCCAGGCCTGGGCCCCGCAGCCCTGAGGGGCTTCCCCGCCCCGCCCCGCCCCGCCCCGGCCGGCCCGGCCCGCCCTCAGCGCCGTTTCCAGCCGGCGGCGTTTGGCGGGAGCACGGCGGGAGCGGCGAGGAGGCGGCGGGATGTCGTGGGTATCAAGGGGCGAGCGGAGCCTTTCTGCTCCCCTTTCCTCACTTCTCCCTCTTCTTCCCTCTCCCCTTTCCTTTCCCTCCGCTCCCCTCCCCTCCCCTCCCGGCGGCGGGGCGGCTCCCGAGGGCGGGAAGCCGTGAGGGGAGCGCGGCTCGCGCCGGGCGGCGGCTCCCGAGCCCCTTCCGTGAGGGTCGTCCCGGAGAGGGGCGGGGCGGCCGGGGAGGGGGCGGGGTTTGTTTCCAGAGGAAAACATGGATCGGGAAATGGATGCGTGGGTGGTTGGCTGATATTGCTGTGGGTGATTCTGCATTCTGTATTTCTAAAGGGGCCTGGGGTGACTCCTTCCAGTGGTGCCTAGCGACAGGACAAGGAGCAGTGGCCTTAAACTAAAACACATAGAGTTTCACCTAAACACGAGGAAGAACTTCTTCACACTGAGGGTGGCAGAGCACAGGAACAGCTGCCCAGGCAGGGCGTGGAGTCTCCCTCCCGGGAGACATTCCAGCCCCACCTGGACATGTTCCTGTGTCACCTGCTCCAGGTGACCCTGCCCTGGCAGGGGGTTGAAGTGAATGACCTCCAGAGGTCCCTTCCTCTCCCAGCTATTCTGTGATTCCGTATCTCTGCACACTCCATGGATAACGCATGTGGGCCTGTGTGGGAATGAGTGGGAGAGGGGCAGGAGAAAGGATCGCAGGATGGGTCAAGTTGGAAGGGACCACAGAGGGTCATCCAGTCCAACAGATGCTCCAGCAGAGAGTCATCCCAGACCACATGGCACGGGATTGTGTCCAGACAGTTCTGGAGTAACCCCAGTGAGGGAGACTCCACATCGTTTCTGGGCAATCCCAGTGCTCGGTTACTGCACAAGAAAGAGGTTCTTTCACGTGTTCAAATTGAATTTCCTGGGCATCAGTTTCTGCCTGTTGCCTCTTGGCCCATTGCTGGGCACCCCTGAGCAGAGCCTGGTCCATCCTCTGACCCCTCCCTTGAAGGGATTGGCAAAAAGCAGGTTTTAATATGAATTTATGAAAGTGTGACTTTAACAGAGTTCAGTGGCAAGGTTCACTCTATTACTACATAGATGAAGCATATACAGGAAAATAGGATCAGAATCCATTTAGGATGATTCCCATGGAGACTGGGGATGCAGAAGGCTCAGTGTTGCAAAGGATTTGATTACAAAAGATACGGGTGGCAAAAGGTGTTGACAACTTCAACAGCAGGAAGGTGAGGCCATAAGATCCATGATGCCTCTACATAGGCTTGGGATATTATCCCAGTTTATAACTCCATGCAGATTTCAAAAGTAAATGGTAGAGCTGCCAGAGGTTCCAACCTCTGCCAGTTCTGACCGTGGAATCTGTAGCAGTCATGGCAGGATACAAAGGAAATACAAAGGAAACTTAACAATACACAAGCTATGATTTTTTTTTTTTTTTAAGTTGGCTTCTCACTGGTGATACACTGAGTTTCACCACCATTTAAGCTGAACATAGGAAATTATGGAGCAATATGTAAATAGCAGACAGGTGCTTTCTTTTTTTCTCCAGTAAAAGTAGAACCTTAAGAGGAAGTGAACTGAAGTGGCCTCAAAATGCACTACAATACCCTTCAGGGCATTTTTAATGAAATGTGATCAAATCCCTGATTCTCTGTGGTTTTTTGGTGCGTTAACCTTGGGCATGGCTGTTGCTGTTGCATTCATTCACAAATTATAAAGGAGAAGAAGTGAAGTTCTTTAGCCTAATAAATATTATGGGCAAAATAATCATTGCAGGTTGGACAGCTGGTTGGAAATACGTGCCATCATACTCTGCACGGTCAAGAAAATAAATTAAGTTGTCAGGCTACAATTCAAGGGCAGAAAACTCAAACTGAGTTGTTAAATACTGTCACCTCATGTACCTCATCTTTCCATCTCCTTTTTCTTGTTCACAGTCTGACATTTGGTTCTGCGCTGGAGCCAAAGTGAGGCTTTTCCAGCTGTGTAAAAAAGATAAACCAAACTAAAACAGCCGCTCTTCGTGTTGTTCCCTAAAATACTTCAGGAATTTTGTTTGCATGTATTGATTGTTCATCTTTTGGAAAATTGGAGGGAAGACAGTTTGGCCAAGAGGGTTTTCATGTTGGGTGTGAGAATGAATTTTGTTTCATCAAAACAGGTGCAGGGTCCAGGGCACGGAGCACAAATTTTAAATTATTTTGATGTAACTTCTCTCATTATGGCATTGGAAAGACAAACATTAAAAACACACCCACAAGCAAATGAGGCTGCTGTGTAGGATGGATTGGGAAACACAAGGAGAGGTTGACTAAAGCTGAAATTGTGTCTTCCAGTGTAATATTCCAGCTCTTTCCAATGTTGTCGTGTTTAGAATGAGGCTCCGTCTTTGCCCCCATAATTTGGGGAGTTGGCAGGGGTTTGGGAGGCCAGCAGAGAGAAATTTGAGCTGCTCT